CATGTATTTAATTTTTGAATACAATGTTAAATTTATTTTTTTGTTTAAATTTAATTTTTCTTTCAAAAAAATGAGATTCAATTTTGATTTAATAATTAATTCTAATCTCTAAACTTATTAAAGAATATGATTAGTATTCCTAATAAGTTGAGTTGAGTCGAGTTTTGAGTCAAAATTATCCTACATACCTTTAATTTAAAGTACTTATTTATTATATTTAACTAAAATTTACAATTATGCATAATTATGTAAGTCAAATATGCGAGTTTATGCAAGTCATTTTTGGAACTCTAAATATGATATTATTTAATTTTTTTTTTATTAGTTTCAAAACATTGCATTATATAGATTAAGCTTATATTTTTGTAATATTTTTTAATAAAATAAGAAACAATTTTCTTCTAAACTTTTTTTTGAATTAGCATATAAACTTTAAATATAATAACTGTTTCTCTTTTTAAAGAAAAATAAATTTAGCTTTAAAATTTTATCAGACTTTATAATCTGAAATGTAATATCTTCACAGTATGATTTTAAATTATTTACAATTATCTAATAAGCTGATTTGAGATATAAATATTTTGGCTCATTAAAATAGTAACTAATAAGTAATATATTATTATTTAAAATATATCTAATATTACCCTTTTTATTAAATATTTGATAGAGCTTATTTTTTAATAATAGATTTATAACTTTATTAGTTTCTCTTAAATTAGTTCAGTTACTAATTAATAATATAAGAGTCATTGAAAAGTTAAATTTATTATATTAAATTTTTTTGTATCTTTAATCTTATTAATATAGAAAACTATTTTACTTATTAGATCAAATTTTTCAATTTTCATTTTATTAAAACTAAGTATTATTAATAATATATCAAATAAAGTAAAATTTCTTAATGAATTTTTGGTGAACTTAATTCAATAAAATTCATATAAGCTTCTAAGAATTAGACTTTACTTTATTTAAAATTCTTTCTTAATTAACATATATTTAATATAAGAAAAAAATCATATGTATAAGACACTTTGATAAAGCATATATTTTATTTTTTTACAAAATATTTCTATTCTTCTAAATCTATTTTTCTCTCTTATAAAATATTGAATTATAAATATAATATTACTTTCTATAAAATTTGAATACAAGATATAATTTTTCATTATATCTATTAAATTGTATTTTATTCAAAAAATTAAGTCTATATAATAGAAATTTTTTGTCTAATAAATCTTTGAAAATATTTTAGCAAGTATTATCTATTATGTTTTTAATATATTAATAGATTTTAAACAATTTATTATTAGTAATTTGAATATAATAATAGAATAATATTTTCGTATAAATTCATTAGGTAAATACAATGCTTAAAATAGTACTTTAAATTTTAGCAAAATTTGAAATTTTTAAAAAATCTCTGGTAAAATTTTTTTGTAATAGATTTTTTTTCAGAAAATTTTTATGATTGATGGATTTCTATCCAGCAAATTTTTTTACATATCAGCATAAATAAATTATCATTTGATAAATTTGATAATCAAATTTTTTTCAATTATTTAAGCAAAATGTTTATTGAATAATATTTTAAAAAAAAAATTTCTAATGAAGATATAGACAAAATTAACAATAATGAGATTAATATTATAGATTCAGATTTAGAAGAAACTCATACCAATATTAATAAAAAATTACAAAAAAATTTAAATTTTAAAAAGAAAAAGATGCATCTCTTAATGAAAAAGAAGACTGAATGTTTTCAAAAAAAATGGTTAGAAATTTATAAATGGCTAATATATGATAGTTTGAAAAATCTAATATTTTATTTATTATGTAAAAACCATAAAAAATTGAATAAATTTGAAAAAGAAGGTAATATAATTTTTATTTTATTATTTTATTTAATTTATAATTACATTAATAACTGAAAATGATTTAAATTAGATTTAAAAAATTTTAAAACTTCTGCTTTATCAGAACATACTTCAATAAAAGATCATACTGATATAACAATTCTTGAGATATCAAGGGTAGAATTTATTAGAGTTTCAAATAATTTTATAGATAAGGCTTAAAATCATGTTAGTTCTTTAATAAAAATAATTTTTTGGCTAGCAGAAAATGATATTTCGTTAAACAAGTTATCTGAAGTTGTAAAACTTTGTAGAATTCTTGAATATTCTCAATTAATATCAGCTTTTAGTACAATTAATTATGAAAATAATGTGTTTAGACATGAAATATTATCTGCTATTTCAATTTCAATAGAGGAAACTATCTGGAAAGAATTAAATGAAGCTATTGCATTTAGTATTATAGTTGATGAAAGTACAGATATTTCATATGAACCTCATCTTATTATATATGTTAAATATTATTTGTGTAGAAAGATTAAAATCCATTTTTTAAAATTACTTCAATTAAAAAGCAAAGATTCAAAAACTATTTTTGAAGTAATTATTGATTTATTTGATAAAAAAGGTATTAAGTTAGTAATCTTAACATGTAGTTTATTTGTTTTATTAATTATATAATTAATACAATTTTTTTTAAAGATTTATCAAATAAACTTATATCATTTACTTCAGATGAAGCAAGTATTATCTTAGGAAAATCAACAGGAGTAGCATCAAGAATTAAAGAAAGAAATGAGTATTTATTTATAACACATTGCATTGTACATAGGCTAGCTTTAGCCTGCAATTCAACAGGAAAAAAAAGTGGATTTTTGCAAGCATACTGAACATATTATAAAATCAGTTTATAATTTTTTTTTAATTCTAGCAAAAGAGCAGATATTTTATACAAATATCAAAACATCCAATTTTGAAAATTAAATAAATTTATAAAGTCTGATGGCTTTCTTGGTATGAAGCAGTCAAAAATCTATATCTTTCAATTGAGTCTTTAATGGATATATTATTGGAAACAATAATAATAATAACTAATAATATTCAAAAACAAAGTTTTATTTCTTTATATATAGAGATCTGTAATTAGAAACTTTTTGCTTTTCTTCATTTTTTATGGGATATTCTTAGGTATCTTTCAACTTTAAGCAAGATTTTTTAATGAAAAAAATTCAAATATCTGATATAGATCTAGTAATAGAATTAACTCTTAATAAAATTCAGCAGGAATTTTTGGATTTTAATAATAAAGAAAGATTATTATTAGAAGAAAATTTAAATAGATTTTTATCAAATATACCATTGGAAGAAAATTGTAATATTGATGCATATCGATGAACTTTATAAAGCAGAATTAGTTGTTGATATTCAATCTTTTGCATCAGCTGTTATTTCAGAAATTCAAGAAAGATTTTCTGATAGACCTTTACTTAATTCAATAAAAATACTTGATCATGCAAATTAGTCAAATAGTAAAGAAGTGCTTGCAAAATATGGGGAAGAAGAGTTAAATATTTTATCAGAATTTTATAAAAAAAAAGTCAATAATTTTTGTGAAG